AAATATGCTTAATATGTTAATTTAATTACAATCTAATTTTAACATGTCGAATGCATTAAGTATAATGCCAAAATAGAGTTTACAGTTCTGCTTGATGATTATTCCTCCTACTTAATATACAAAAACACATCACAAAGCAATTTATCTGTATTATCAGTAATATTTGCTTTGTGAACCACACAATATCCGAGCCATCATAAATCCAATACATAGTAATCCTCTCCATGTTCCTGAAGCACATGTCTTTTTTCTTCAAATTTACACAAAAGAAAGAAAACACCACAAATAAATTTAATAAGTGCCTTTTTTAATCAGAACAGCCAGGTTTGAACAGATTTGGACCACAAAACTTCCATTCTCCCCTCCCATTCTGGATCTGTAACCCTCTTTATATACCAACACATACATATCTCAACTGAACAAGCAAACATTATGCTCCACCGGCATCAAGGACTGAAATGAAATAACATGAAACACAACACAACCCTTCTTCACGTTCTAGATGGTGCCATCAGATCACAAACACCTCTAATGCTCTCCTCTCAACCCTCACAGACTCACAGAGCACAGTCTGGACTTCAGAACGAGCATCTGGTGAGATGATGGAGAGCAGCAGTTTCCAGCAGCAGGGTACAGTGAGCGCCACCTTCAGCCCTGAGAATATCTAGCCCAGAGTTAACACATCTGGAATCAAGAAATCAGCCATTGGTCGGGTGTTACGGCTCTGTATTAGGAGATGGTCAGAGAGGAGCATTAGGACGGTGTCTTGTCCAGTCTGTGAGTAACAAAAACCATGAAAAAAGCAGGAAAAATGACCAACATTGGTGGCACTATCCAATCATCATTTTTGTTGTTTTTCTCAAAAACTCTTCGCAATTATAAACATTTCCCGTATATAAAGATATTCGAGTGAAAAAATTCAGGATATTTACAAGAATATCTTGTTCTAGATTTACATATTTCACAGAATATTATTTCAATTTAATATCTGCATGAACAATAACTGCTGCGAAATAGGACATGAAGGAAATTCCAGCATTTCTCCAGCCATTTACCTTTATATCACATCTGCTTTATTTCAATCACACTGAAATGGTTGGTTTGCTATTTTGCGTGCTGATATTTTGATTAGATTTTTTTTCTAATAATTAAAAAAAATATTCATATAACCCAAGACAAAACTCTTTGTGATGCACATTTGATGCACCTGACAGCAGCAAAAACTGTAAATCTGTTTATACCCAAAGGTTTTGTTTCAATGAACATTTGGTTTCTGATGCAAATGTAAAATAATGTAACACAAAATGCAAAACGGAACAATGCCAATTGAGTTATGACTCCAGAGTAACAAAGGTTCATGTGTCTAGTTTCAAACAATACCAGATTTATAAATATAGACCATAGGTTCAAGAGCTAGACATTTTTATTTGGGTTTTTCAGAAAATGCTCAAAAATAGGGGCGCAGATTAATGATAAAGTAAAAATAATTAATAATTTAATTATCCTCATGCATGGCATCACTGACAATACATGAAAGTCCTTTCTGAGACATTTGAACATTGTACACAACGCCTTGAACAATGTCTGTTTTATGAATGCATAAATTCACTGAAATGCAAAAAAAAAGACTAATGCAGGAGAAAATATGCTTAATATGTTAATTTAATTACAATCTAATTTTAACATGTCGAATGCATTAAGTATAATGCCAAAATAGAGTTTACAGTTCTGCTTGATGATTATTCCTCCTACTTAATATACAAAAACACATCACAAAGCAATTTATCTGTATTATCAGTAATATTTGCTTTGTGAACCACACAATATCCGAGCCATCATAAATCCAATACATAGTAATCCTCTCCATGTTCCTGAAGCACATGTCTTTTTTCTTCAAATTTACACAAAAGAAAGAAAACACCACAAATAAATTTAATAAGTGCCTTTTTTAATCAGAACAGCCAGGTTTGAACAGATTTGGACCACAAAACTTCCATTCTCCCCTCCCATTCTGGATCTGTAACCCTCTTTATATACCAACACATACATATCTCAACTGAACAAGCAAACATTATGCTCCACCGGCATCAAGGACTGAAATGAAATAACATGAAACACAACACAACCCTTCTTCACGTTCTAGATGGTGCCATCAGATCACAAACACCTCTAATGCTCTCCTCTCAACCCTCACAGACTCACAGAGCACAGTCTGGACTTCAGAACGAGCATCTGGTGAGATGATGGAGAGCAGCAGTTTCCAGCAGCAGGGTACAGTGAGCGCCACCTTCAGCCCTGAGAATATCTAGCCCAGAGTTAACACATCTGGAATCAAGAAATCAGCCATTGGTCGGGTGTTACGGCTCTGTATTAGGAGATGGTCAGAGAGGAGCATTAGGACGGTGTCTTGTCCAGTCTGTGAGTAACAAAAACCATGAAAAAAGCAGGAAAAATGACCAACATTGGTGGCACTATCCAATCATCATTTTTGTTGTTTTTCTCAAAAACTCTTCGCAATTATAAACATTTCCCGTATATAAAGATATTCGAGTGAAAAAATTCAGGATATTTACAAGAATATCTTGTTCTAGATTTACATATTTCACAGAATATTATTTCAATTTAATATCTGCATGAACAATAACTGCTGCGAAATAGGACATGAAGGAAATTCCAGCATTTCTCCAGCCATTTACCTTTATATCACATCTGCTTTATTTCAATCACACTGAAATGGTTGGTTTGCTATTTTGCGTGCTGATATTTTGATTAGATTTTTTTTCTAATAATTAAAAAAAATATTCATATAACCCAAGACAAAACTCTTTGTGATGCACATTTGATGCACCTGACAGCAGCAAAAACTGTAAATCTGTTTATACCCAAAGGTTTTGTTTCAATGAACATTTGGTTTCTGATGCAAATGTAAAATAATGTAACACAAAATGCAAAACGGAACAATGCCAACAGTGGGATTCAGAGAAATAAAAGGGAGAGGAGATCAGAACCAGTATATACTGAAAAATAAATCCATTCTAATTATTCCATCTAGTGACCTTTGCCCCCAAGTTAAAAGATGGATAAATGAAACATCAACAACATTCCAGCACATTTGGAGTCAATCGTCAGACCTGTTCTTGTTTTAATCTCACAAATAAATAATAAACAAATTTAAGCAAGATCCGATAGGAAAGAAAGCAGCTAGTCGTACAAAATGTCCATAACTCAGTCATTTCTCCACTCTGAGATTGTGGTTTGTAGCGTTTATGAGGTCTTACCCAGATACAGAGAGCAGTAATATTGTCCTTTTCATGAAAAAGATCAGATGTACTTTATATATAGGTACATTAAAAAAAAAAAGAGTGAGGTAGATAAATGTCCAAAGGAAAAAAAAAGTCCCCATGTCATGAAAAAAAAGCATATAAAAATACCTCAAATGTAATCAAGGGGGAGTTTTTACAGTGATTATAAACGCATCACAAAAAAGAAATACAAATAAATAATGAAAAAAAAAGGCCAGGGTGGGGGAAAAAGAAAAAGTGAGTTTTTCCTTTGGGGGGGGGGGAAGAAAAAAACTGGCGCTCATAGTCAAACCTGTTTCTTAAATCGATATAAGTGATCTATGTTACAAACACAACTTCTGCATAGAGATATGCTGAATCATATCTGTATAATCATTTATCAGGCTCTGCTCGGAAGGAAGGAAACGCAGAGTTTAGAAGATCAGGGCCTTCAAAGGGCGGCAGGATCAGTCACAAATAAGACTGAACAATCCATGAGTCTACGTTTAAATCAATCCAAAATTTGCCAAGTTTAAAGTCATACTCTGTTGATTAAAGAGGAATGAATAGCGAGACAAGAACACATCGAGGTCTGAGACCGAAACTTTTAGGATTCTGACCTGAGAGTATTTGTTGCGCATTAATGTGATGAGAGACACAGTGTCGAGTTGTTACAGAATCAGGTCGCTGGGTGCCGCCGTTAATGGATTGTGTGTTCATTGCCGGTTTTGCTTTTAAAGAGAGAGAATCTATCAAAACAGGAGGGGTTAAACAACTTTTCATTGCAAAACTCAACTGTTAGAATGAACCTCCTACTGTTTTTCTCATTTTGCAGAACTAAAAGCATCATAAAATGGACTGTAGTGGAAAGGCCAAGGATTACACCTGAAAAATCTCTTTACATTTATATATATGTATATATATTACAACCACAAAAGAAAAACAATAATAGCAGCTTTTTTTTAGCACAGACATGTAGATGATCAATCTGAACCGTAAAAAAGGTACAAAAGTGACCGACAAATGATGCACACGCTCTGTGGTCCGACGTACGACTGAACAACCAAGCGAGAGAATTGCTGTGAACATTTCAACTCCACAAAGCCACAATTTTTAAACCTTTTCAGCTTCTTTTTTTATCCGAATCCCTTTTAAAGTTTCTTTGCAATGTAACATCTGCTGCATCTGTTGAATAATTCAGTGCGAAATGCGTCTAATCCTAAGCAAGACGACAGAAAAGTGGAAATCTGGGAAATCTCTCTATGGTTTTTAAAGGAACAGTTCACCCAAAATTTGCTAAAAATGAACACACCCTCAGGTAGGTGAGTTTGTTTCTCACCTTTGTTTCTTCATTACATCACTTGTTCACCAATGGATCCTCTGCAGTGAATGGGTGCCGTCAGAATGAGAGCCCAAATAGCTGATAAAAACATAAAAATTATCCACAAGTAACTGGAGGAAGTGTTATTATGGATTATGGACTCGTATTTTAGCCGGATACAACAGTTTGAAATTAAAACACCTTGATGATTTATTTATTTTTTACAAACACGCAGCTTTTTTAACTGATGGACTGGAGTCGTGTTGGGATGTTTTTATCAGCTGTTTGGACTCTCATTCTGACGGCACCCATTCACTGCAGAGGATCCATTGATGAGAAAGTGAGGTAATACTACATTTCTCCAAATTTGTTCCGATGAGGAAACATCTGCATCTTGGATGGCCTGAGGGTGAGTAAATATTTTGTAAATTTGCATTTTTGGGTGAATTATTCCTTTAAGCAGGTTTGGATCACCAGGGTCAAAAACTGTCGTATGTATTTTGAGGAATATGGATGCAAGGGGAATTAAACGACAACTTGGCAACATAAAAGAAAAAAGAAAAGAAAGACATTTGGCAGATTTGAGAATTTCTTCTCCACTATGTTGCGCAGCCAGATGATTTGGAGAAAACGGAAGCCGAAGATCTCAGTACCCAGATCTGAGTTGGGTCATGGGAACGATCTTCTAAGACGAGCGGAAGAAAAAACATCTCTAATTTAGACGCACGTCTTTGGAAACAAAGACAAGAACAAGTGCTTCGCTGTTGGATTCGCTTCGAGATATGCAGAGCGTGCCGTAATAATGCCACCGTACCACTACTGGCTCTAACAGGCCTTCAAACCAGTTTTGGAAGTTTAGAAAAGTAACAAAACGTAACAAAAACAGTCAGCCTATCGAGTGCGAGAGTGAAGGTCATGGTTTTTCAGTCAGTGATCCAATCTGCGGAAATAACAAATGAGTTCATATCAATCAATTCAACGATTCAATCGAAATACACAAAAAACAAAGAAATCCAAACTTTGTCCGTTGAGGTATGATTGAAAAGATTGATTGCCTGGACTCTCAGTTTGTACCATTTTGTCTTTCCTTGTCTCTTAACTTCATATTTCTTCTCAGGAGACCACACAGTGGCTTGACAGACAGAGACGTGTCCAGAAACCGTCGATCAGCAAGCCGACGACTGGGGCAGAGGCAAGGCACGCTCGTTCTTACGGCCCCCGTTCATGTGAGCGTAAGGCTGGGTCTCGTCAAACGGGCTCCGGAGAACCATCGAGGGCCCGTTTGCCGCAGACGCGGGGAGCGGGTGCTTGTCCGTGGAGCTGGGGGAGGAAGGCGGCGAGGACGGGCCGGCCGAGGTGGAGGAGCCCTGGGACGCAGGGGCGCACTGTTGAGTGGAGGCCAGAGAGGGAGCGAGGGGCTGCAGGCTGGAGGACGGCTCCAGAGGAACGTTCTCCATGGTTCCCACGTTCTCCATGTCCAGCTCTTCCGTGTCCGGAGGTTTGTTCTCCTCGCTGTAGAAGAAGCTCGTCTCCTTGAATCCCGCCTCCAGGTCATCCTTGATGCTGCTGATGATCTCCTGGAAGGACGGCCGCATTTTGGGGTTGTACTGCCAGCACATGCGCATCAGTTCAAACCTGAAAGCGCACAAGAGAACAAGAGAAGAACAAGAGAAGTTCAGCAACATGGTCCTTGAGAAACATTAATTAGTTGCTGTCCTGTCTAAATGACTGACTGATATTTGGCCATGTTTAGATTATCAGCATCAGACGACAGCGTATAAATGCAAGAACGCATTTTGGTTTTAGATATTAGGACAACTTTGATGAAAGGTTTTGATCCACTTCAAATGTTGACTAGTGTATTTTAGAATTTTTAGGGAATGTTATGTTAAAAAAACAGGAAGTTTTGAGCTGAAATGGCTAATTTTTATTGTTAATTTATATTAAATGTATTCCCAAAAATAAACACCTGGTTTGTGTTATTTGAAAAAAGGTCCCTTTTAAATTTCAAATTTAAATGTTCAATTATTTTAAATCTCTCTCTCTCTAATACCTTTATACATTTTAATTATCATAATTTTTATAACGTACAATAATTAATGTATTCACTATATGAGTTATAAACTACGTCACATAACCAATTATTAATCATCTTAATCACTCTGGTTTGAGTCGGTTAAAAAAAAAGTTATTTTCAGTTTTAAATCAAGTTACTATATATATTAATATCAATTTTATTTATTAATTTCAAAATTATATGTATTATATATATTATATTAATATATTATATTATATATTATGTATTTTAAATAATCTAACTTTTTGGTTTTTGTCATTAAAACAAAAGTCCTTTTCAATTTTAAATGAATTTTTTAAATAAATGTAAAGTTCTAAATAATATATTTATTGTTTAAAAAAAAAAATGGCATTACAATTTACATGTATAGACTACTTTATATAATCAATAAATCCATCTTTTTGATTTGTGTCTTTAAAAGACCAAGTCTCTAAATTTGAAATAATATCAGTATACATATTATAAAATGTATTAATGTATTTATTAATTTGTATGAATTTAAAATGGTTCATAATACATTTTTATACTTTAATTTAATCCTGTAAAATCGATTAATCAGAATTAATCGCATCCAAAATAAAAGGTTGTTTTTTCATAATATGTGTGTATTGTGTATATTTATATGTATATATAAATACACACACAAATGTATGTATTTAGGAAATATTTACACGTATACATAGTCACATTTAGATATGATTTATATTATATATAAATATATATTAGATATATTTCTTAAATATATAAACGTGTTTGTGTGTATTCATACATACAAATAAATATACACAGTACACACACATATATTATGTAAACACAAACTTTTATTTTGGATGCGATTAATCGCGATTAATCGATTTGACAGCACTAAATACTTTATAATTTAATTATAGTCATTACATATAGCTGATTGAATATTGTACTATTTAACATTATTGTCATATATACTGCTACTATAACAAAATGACTGATAAGATCTTGTTCATACCACCTACGTCTTCTTGCCATAGCACTGAACAACAGGTGGCAGCATGACGAATCACTAACATAAACATGCATGCTATCAGCGGTTACGTCCTAAACATAGCTGCAGTGAGCTCATGGTGAATACTGTGACCTCTTTACTGCACAGCAAACACACAACTGTGAAGAAATCACACTGCAGAGCTGGAAAGGAGGCCCGAGAGCACCGGAGAAGGGGAACTGCTACAGTTACACGGGGGAAAAAATAAAAGTGTACGATCTTGCTGACACTCGAGCATTCCAGTTCACCATTTTAATTATACACAAACAGGCTAAGAATACCAGAGGAGTCTGCTGAAATAAATACTGGGATCCCTGTGCCAGCTCACGCACTAGTGGAGTAACACACACCATTAGTCTTACAAACACCAGTGCCGGCTACACACTCACACACAGCTAGCGCAAACATCAGCTGACAGTTACAAATACCCATGCACCACATACACAAACATTCACACCAGCAAATCCAAGTGTGGTATTTTCACTGTCTCGTACACACACACACACACAGACACAGACAGACAGACAGACAGACAGACAGACAGACAGACAGACAGACAGAGACAGACACAGACACAGACACACACACACAGAGAGACAGACACAGACACACAGTTACACACACAGTTACACAGTTAGACACACACACACACACACACACACAGACAGACACAGACACACAGACACACAGACAGACAGACAGACAGACACACAGACACACACAGACACAGACACAGACACAGACACACCAGGGTTTTTGGCTCTCCAGCTGTGAGACAGAGAGACTGGACTCACTGCCTTCAGAGCCTCGTTTGTTTTTCCTGCATGGCACAATGAAGTTTGCATTGATGGGGAACTTCAGGCTGATTTTAGCACCTCCAGTGTAAAAAGTGCCATATGAACAAGACTAAAGCCTGCAGTAACCTTTGAAAGGACAAAGTATGGATTTTTTCATCAAAATGGTGATAAATTGAGTAAAATGTAAGTGTTTTTTTTTTAAATTGTATTTAAATATTTTATTTAAAGATTTCATGAATTGTATGATGATTACATTACATAAATATAAATTATAACTATAAAAATAACAAAAATTGTGATTAAATGAATGTTAAATTGCAAAGTTGAGTTGCCATAAAGCAAAAAGTATTTTTTTTAACGTTCCAAACATTTTAAGGTAAAAATTCTAAATTTAAGTTTAAGGTTATGCTTTTTTTTTTTTTTGGTAAAAGAGTCATTTCTATGATATAATTTCCTGTTTGATTATTTATTATCACATGACTACAAAATCACACACATCATCACACTTTTATTGTATTTATTTTTACTTATAGATCCTACAGAAATATCCTAATGAATTCAACTCAATACAGTTCGAAATAACATGAAACAATGAGGAAAAAATGGAAATACGTATGTAGAAATCTAAATAATAACTTGCAATAGCATTAAACTTAGCAAACAATCCTGTGCATATGTCATATAAAGGCACTAAAAGGTGTCACTGTTTGCATCGTTCACTCTTCGTTCACTGTTTTTCTTGTACAGAAATCAAAGAGATCCTGCTTTGATTTCTTTCTTTTTTATTACTAGAGCAAAAATAAAACAGCTGGGGATGTTGTGTGTGAAATATCACTCTTCAATCTCAAATCTTCAATCTATTAATCTCATTTGTCAACACTCAAAATTTTACTTCTGTGTCAAACAAGAAATGAGTAAATAAAAATAAATAGAAAAAATGTAAGGCGGGACTTGATTTTATGCATCAGGAATAGATTACATACTAGAAATGAATCAACTGAAAGGAAGCGAGGGATTTAAAAAATGAATTATTGGTGATGGCAGAGACAGACACAGACACACAGTTACACACACAGTTACACACACAGACACACACACACACACACACACACAGACAGACACAGACACACAGACACACAGACAGACAGACAGACAGACACACAGACACACACAGACACAGACACAGACACAGACACACCAGGGTTTTTGGCTCTCCAGCTGTGAGACAGAGAGACTGGACTCACTGCCTTCAGAGCCTCGTTTGTTTTTCCTGCATGGCACAATGAAGTTTGCATTGATGGGGAACTTCAGGCTGATTTTAGCACCTCCAGTGTAAAAAGTGCCATATGAACAAGACTAAAGCCTGCAGTAACCTTTGAAAGGACAAAGTATGGATTTTTTCATCAAAATGGTGATAAATTGAGTAAAATGTAAGTGTTTTTTTTTTAAATTGTATTTAAATATTTTATTTAAAGATTTCATGAATTGTATGATGATTACATTACATAAATATAAATTATAACTATAAAAATAACAAAAATTGTGATTAAATGAATGTTAAATTGCAAAGTTGAGTTGCCATAAAGCAAAAAGTATTTTTTTTAACGTTCCAAACATTTTAAGGTAAAAATTCTAAATTTAAGTTTAAGGTTATGCTTTTTTTTTTTTTTGGTAAAAGAGTCATTTCTATGATATAATTTCCTGTTTGATTATTTATTATCACATGACTACAAAATCACACACATCATCACACTTTTATTGTATTTACTTTTACTTATAGATCCTACAAAAATATCCTAATGAATTCAACTCAATACAGTTCGAAATAACATGAAACAATGAGGAAAAAATGGAAATACGTATGTAGAAATCTAAATAATAACTTGCAATAGCATTAAACTTAGCAAACAATCCTGTGCATATGTCATATAAAGGCACTAAAAGGTGTCACTGTTTGCATCGTTCACTCTTCGTTCACTGTTTTTCTTGTACAGAAATCAAAGAGATCCTGCTTTGATTTCTTTCTTTTTTATTACTAGAGCAAAAATAAAACAGCTGGGGATGTTGTGTGTGAAATATCACTCTTCAATCTCAAATCTTCAATCTATTAATCTCATTTGTCAACACTCAAAATTTTACTTCTGTGTCAAACAAGAAATGAGTAAATAAAAATAAATAGAAAAAATGTAAGGCGGGACTTGATTTTATGCATCAGGAATAGATTACATACTAGAAATGAATCAACTGAAAGGAAGCGAGGGATTTAAAAAATTAATTATTGGTGATGGCAGATTGTAATTTCAGAGGCAGAGCATGTTATTTTGATAAAAAAGTTACCAAGTATTAAAGAATCTACTTTTTAGTAAAGATCTTTTCTAGCAGGAGGCAGTGGCTTTTGCCTTTTTTGGCTAAAAATATCACATGCATGAGCAATATTGCTCAATGTGTGAAAGCCTTTGTTCTAATTGCTACGCTGCACATAACTGAATCGAATAACTGGACTTCCCTTAGAGGTTGAATTTGGGTGACCGTTGGCACTGTTAGCCTCAGCAGTCGTGCGCTGGCTCATTAAAACACAAGACAGAGGCAGCGGCAGTGTACCAGCCCAAAACCCAGCCACATACCCTCCTCCACTCCTGTTCTGCCTGCTTTAACGACCACTTCATCCTTCCCGGCACTTCTCTCAAAAAGTGTGAAAAGGTGCCAAACGTCGGCCAACCACAACAAAGACCCTAAATCAGACGGCCTTGAGATGAAAATAAGGCGCAAGCCAATGCAAGCCATTGTGCACTTCCCGTCAATGGACAGCGGACTGAGAAAATGCAAACTGCTGTTTCTCCTGAAACAAAACATCATTGTTCATTTGTGTCACCAATGAATAAACAGAAAAAAAACTGCCTGTGAAGCTTGCTTTTTATTGTTTAAAAAACAGAAAACACAAATATATATATATATATATATAAATGAAAAAACATGATTTTTGAAAATTGTTCAAAACTGACTTATCTGTTTTTGCACATGAACTCTTCATATATAATTCTAAAAATCACACACACGCTTTCTATTTTTCTGTACCCCTTTCTTCTCAAGCACCTCCCTCCCTCCTGGTATAATGTTATATTATTAAAAATGTGGAATCCCTGTAGTGCTTTGAGTGCTCGTATGTCACAGCCAGCTCTCACACTTCAGATAAAACATGGACTCGAAGCCAGACGCAACCTAACTCAAACTGCGCCAAAGAAAACCCAGAGCTTGGAGACTCTCTCAGATAAACAAATTGTACTTAAATTTAGAGCCCAGCACCCACAGGGAGAGCGTTAGACTAGGTAGTTTTAAAATCCAAAACAAATAACGGCCAAATAAAGTCAAAAACTTTTCTGTAAATACCATTAATTCTCAAGCTAATTCAGATTTTTAATGTCTATTCATGTTTTCAGCTTTGTGATGTTACAACCTAAATCACACAGTAGGTGGCAGACTTTCTGCTTTTTAAAAGGCACACACAAAAATGAAAATTCTATCATCATTTACTCACCATCATGTCCTTCCAAACCTAACATGAATATTCATATTAGGAACATTCAAAATTGCCACATCAAGACACTGCACCAGGTTTGACGTCAATGAAACCAATCTTGGACAGACGGCAAGAAAAAGTGACACTGAATTTTGGTCTGTTCCTCACATTAAAGTATGTGCATCAGTTATATGGACCATTTTTATGATGTTTCGTGTCCTTTTTGGAGCTCGACAGCCCCGGGTCACTGTCTGCTTTCACTGAATGGAAAACAGCAGCTTGATCATTTTTCAAAATGTTGCACTTAGAACAACAATGTGAGTGAAAGATGTGCATGAGATGACTTACAGCATGTCAGGGCAGTTGTCAGGTTTGTCTAGCAGTCCTCCCTCCATGACAAACCGCAGTACCTGCTCATTGGACATGCCCTGATAGGGCTGCTCGGCAAGCGTGGCTATTTCCCACAACACCACCCCAAAGGACCTGCAAGAGGAGTGAGAACAGATGAGAAAAGTTGAGATCTACAATGATTGCGACCAAAGTGTCTACAAGATGCTGATTTTCTTTTAATTCTGAGTGAGTTCAGTTGAAAGCTCCCCGCTCGTAAAAATGAACTGTTCCCTGAAGATGTTTTTCCAGGAAACATCAATATTTTCACTGAGAATGTGAGTGATGTGTGTTCTAATTACTTAAAACTTTCAAATGGGAGCAAGTTGTCATTATAATGAGTCAGCCGCTCAGACAAATGACATAATATAATGTGGCCTGTTGATAATAAAGCTATTAAGCACGTAACAGAAATACCTTCAGTCGTGCCTGACTCAAGAAATGCTTTTTCTTTCGAGTTTATTCTTATTATTTTTCTACAGATAAGTAAGTGTTGTACATCTAAATTAGATACAAAAGAGCTTCAAAGGCAGCAACAAATAATCACAGGCTCTGTTCCAAAACCTAATGAGCTGCTTTGTGATCTATTACTGCCTACATAGATTAAAAAAACCCCGCTTTACATTGGGCAGCAGCTCAGTGTTATACACTGGACATTCCTCAACTGATTTTATGAAACAAGTATTTGATAAAATTATACATTTAATTGCACTGAATTATTTGCATCAGTACTTTAAAGTGCTGAATTAGATTTTCCTTTGTAATCCACACTGCACAATTCACCATACTGAGCTTGTCACTATGCATTCTGGGGTCCCCCTTTTTTTTTTTTAAGTTCACTCAAATATTGAGTGCTGTTACATGGATTTTTAAAATGTATATTATTAATATGTAATATGCATTTAAAGTCATATAATTTTTCTTTAAAAAACCTCCATACATGATCCAAATCATTTATCCTATAGGGCTGAGGGGATGCTGGAGTCAGTCCAACACAGCAAACAAAAAACAAAACAAAAAACTAAACTAAAACTGAACAAAACAATGCGCCGGAGAGATGCTCAAGGAGACCGAGACCGCTAAAGCAGCGCATTCTGTTGTTCTCTTTATTTTTCAAAGGCATGACATTTTGTAGTTATTTTGAACGTAACGTTACACAATTAAAAATATACATTTTACCATACGACTATAAATGACAGAGTATTAAGTTATGCTGCGCACAAGTGCATAACCTTTTGAGATATCAATTATAATCAATTTTAATAAAACACAAGACCACATTATATAACTCTAACAGTAGGCTATTTCATATCTGTTGTTCTCCGGTTGTCAGTCAGAATGACAGTTCTTGCGTGAACATAGGCCTATATATACCCAAGCCAATTTATTATTCTTTCCTTTTTGTCTTAGTGTTTAAAATATTTATTTTGAAACGAATGAATGAATTAATTTCTTAATTAAACAAACAAACAAACGTACTGGGTGAGCAGGGTGGGCTATGACAGCTGTCATATCATACCCTGCCATGCTGAGCTGATACAAATAATAGAATTTATATCTACACAGAAGAAAGCCCTGTCTAGACTCTGCCCCAGTATGAGTTGTGTCGAGCTATTCATTAGTCTGTTTGTTTGATGAAAAAATATTAAATGTAGTTGCAATAAATGTGTTAAGAATCCATACAACTGCAGCAGTGGAGGACTATTATTCTGCTGCGTGATAATTCAGAAGAACTGATGAAGGCACGGTTTGATCTTCGGCTGACCAATCAGCAGAAAGGGGTGTTTAATTCCCACCCACATGTAGAAATCGAATATTCAAGCTGTTTATTCATTTTTCCACCCATGAACGAAAAATGAAAACTTAAGCTGAATTCTCGTTTTTTGTTTTTTGAAAAAAAGAAAACGAAAAAAAACTAAAGAGGACCATTTTCTAGTTTTTCTACTTTCAATATTAAATCAAAAAACGAATGATTGAATGATACATGGATTCAAAACTAACCACTAAACTAAAACAGAACAAAACTAAAATCACAAAACTAACCACTAAACTGAACAAAACACATACGTCACAAATCGAAACAGTAAACTAAAACAGAACAAAACAAAACAAAACACAAACATCACAAAACGAAACACTAAACTAAAACAGAACATAACAAAAATCACAACTCTAACCACTAAACTGAACAACATACAAAAAAAAACGAAACACTAACATAAAACAGAACAAAACACAAAAATCACAAATCTAACCACTAAACTGAACAACATACAAAAAAAACGAAACACTAACATAAAACAGAACAAAACACAAACATCACAAAGCTAACCACTAAACTGAACAAAATACAAAAAAACACTAAAATAGAACAAAACACAAACATCACAAAATGAAACCCTAAACTAAAACAGAACAAAAAAATCTCAAAACTAAACACTAAACTGAACAAAATACAAAAAAAATCACTAAACAAAACTAAACACTAAACTAAAACAGAAAACAAAAATCACAAAACTAACCACTAAACTGAACAAAATACAAAAAACACTAAACAAAACGAAACACTACGCTAAAACAGAACAAAACACAAACATCACAAAACGAAACACTAACATAAAATAGAACTAAACAAAAAGCAAAGCAAAACAACAAAAAAAAAATTAAAAAACAAAATAAAATTTTAATTTCATTGTGCTCATGGCAATGCAAAGAAACATGACGCTGCATCACGCTGCTAAAAAAGGTACATAAAAATATTTAAAAAAACATAAAAAGGTATATAATTTTGAACATAGCTGGAATGCAGGCCAATATGTACCTATTCTATTATACTGTATGCCTCTTGATTCCAACCTGATGTGCAACGGCAATTATAAGTAAGCCACTGCTCCGTTTTAATCTTCACTTTAACCAGTGACATGAATGTGGGGCATGACTGTTTGAATTTCTTAATTATTTTGAAATTATTCATTATTTTGCACTTCCGTTTGGTGGCACAAATACTGCACACTTAGCCCTTAAGAAACAGCCATGATTTTCTGATTTAGATCTTAACCGCCGTGGAAGATTATTATTTTTTTTTTACAATAAATTTGTAATTGACTACTCCCATGTCTGATCCTCGTGTAAAGTTCACCAGACATTCCTTATTATCAAGGCCTGACGGTGACCCTGGACAGACATGAAAGGTGAACTGTTAGGGCAGACTCTCCAGACACCTGGAAGGAAACTTGAGCGCATTGTAATTAAGTTCAATCCTCTTCCTGAACAGGGAGTGCTTGATTCTGATCCTTAACAAAAGATTTAAGCGCAAACCTCCCAGCAAGTCCAAACAGCTACTTATCACGACACGGGAGGACGAATCGACTAAAGATTCCTTGAGGCTCTGGAATGTCGCTCATATCAGTCGCAGCTGTTGCCGCTTCCGGAAAAGCACGGTCTAGACTCCCCAAGGTTTTCTTTGAAAGTTTGTCAAATAAGACTAGCATATGAGGGAAATGTTTCTAGCTCATATGAGGGCCGATGAGGCTTGATTGCCAGTTTCATTTGGAATATATGGAAAGATGTTTCTCCTCATTGCTTACCGCATTAACGTATGCATCACGTAATGGAAAATGTGTGTTGAGCCGTGCGAGTGTGGTTTTAATTTCTCGTTCAGCTAGCGCAGGAACTGAAGTGGTCACTGGGGCGGTCTTTGCTCAAATACAGATGTCGCTCTGCAGCTGCAAAGACTAGACTGATGTACCCTGATATACTGCGCACTATATGTCTCAGTTAATATCTCTACATGTTTTGAACATCTTGCACACACTGATTCTCTATAGAACACACGAAGGCTTACCAGACATCAGACATGGTGGTGAATACTCCATCTTTGAGGGACTCTGGAGACATCCAGCGCACAGGCAGCAGTCCCTTGCCTCCTTTTCTGTAGTAATCGGTCTCATAAATGTCCCGTGTCATGCCAAAATCTACAGGTTGAGGATAGATGAGGTGAAATTACTAAAGTTCTATAGTTTTACTTGAGATTTAGCCAAACAAAATGAAGAAAATATACTGCAGTTTCAGAAATTAATTACTGTACTTGTTCTTTATGGAATAAAAAATGGGGGATGTGCAGTTGCATAATTCTTTTGGAATATTTGCCATAATTTACTGCAAACCCTTTAATTTCTTGCTACAGTACACAATTGTTAAAACAATACAAATCTTAAAGGTTCAACGTAGCGACAGAGCTTTTTCTTCCATATTGTGTTCAAGCAGCTTCCAGTTAATTGTAATAAAGAAGCGGGTTTAAGCAGAAAAATGTCTGAAATACAGTCTGAAATACAGTACATCACCATAGACAATGCATTGTTTCACTGGAAGATCCAGTTATGACATTTTAAAAAAAAAAAAAAAGTAAAACATGGAACACAAGCATGTATGAATCGTTCACAGATCAATAACATGCATTTACAAATAGAAATCCAATTCATGCTAACTTTAAAATTATGAAACTATTAAATATATAACAAATTAATAATAATTATTATTATAATTATAATACATAAAAATTGGACAATAACTAATAGAGTTGATATAATGTTTTTTCGTATTTAATTTTGTTATGAAACAATGAGCAATAGTGCAAAATATCAAAAAGAGTTAAATCTGAGGTGCAATATGTCAATGCAGTATTTTTACATTTAATAACTGTCTAATTATCAATATTTACTGTGGAATGCCACCAACTGAAGATAATTTACTGCTAAAATATGCTAAAACCCTCTCTGAGAAGCTGTCTCAAAATGTATTCTGTTTAAAGCCCCACTACTAAAAAGAATATACCTGAAAAAACTAGATTAACTCAAATTTGGATGACTAGTCCCTATTTAAAACATTTCACATGTAAAACACAAGTCAAGAAAGGCAAATACATATTTCCCCCCATTTCAACACATACCACCAATTTTGACAGCAAAATCCTCTGCCACCATGCAATTCCTTGCTGCCAAGTCTCTGTGAACAAATTTGTTGGCGTTGAGGTAAGCCATGCCATCCGCGATCGCTCCCGCCATCTGAATCATCTTCTTCAACGGCGGCAAAGGCAAGCTGGAGGTGTTCTGAGGACAGAAGAAGAAGAGGAGAATGATACTGCTGTAGCTCTATTCCAAAACCAAGTGAGTCTTGTGCATTTCATGCTGAAGCTTTGCATCATGCAAATGGAAATCAATCTGGAGCTGAGTTTTAGAAAATTTTTCTGAGTTTTAGTCACTTACAAGATTGCAATTTTCACTTAGGATACAGACTATGCAGTTCACATCAAGAGATTACACTAGGCTTTGGAGTTGAAGTCTTAGAGGAGCTTATAGTCTAGAACTGCAAGGAGTGGCCCCATTTAGGCACAGAAAACAGCAGTGAACGCAAGCGCAGATGATGAATTCTGATTAATGGAAATTGCTCAATTATGCATCACAATTCTACTACACTACTACACAGGTGGCAATCCTTAACTTGCTGGAATTTAGAATAGCGGTTAAAAATTCAGTCTGATTAGCCAAATATTTAATCAGCGATGTGAAGATGTCACATGCATGCCTGTATTCACCTCAGCGGATCGAAGTGAACGCAAGTAACTCTTCAGATCTCCTCGTGTCATCAGCTCCATGATCACCAGGGTGGGCTGACCCTGCGAAACTACACCTAGCAGACGCACCTAAACCAATCACAAATGACATCAGAGGAACCTACCAGTAAAGTCAACATTATTACACCAGTTTACACCAATACTGTCAATATTTAAAGCATCAGATGAGGTTTGTCATGTGTTCTCTGACTAACCACATGGTGACAGTTGAACTCTTTCATAACAGAGGCTTCATTGAGGAACTCTATGCGCTCGTGTAAGCTAGCCGATTCGTTGACTGTTTTAATGGCCACCCTGGTTTCCGGCTCATCTTTGACGACACCTTTGGCGATACCCTCATACACCATACCAAAGGATCCTTGTCCAAGCTCTCGGCACATGGTGATTTTCTCTCGCTCCACTTCCCATTCATCCGGCACATACACTGTAAACAAAGTACAAGAGTTACAAACCAACTGCATATTTACGAAAACGGTAAGTTGAGTCGATTTTGCCCTTGACTGAATCCTCACTTTCTGCTGCGCTGAAGTACTCTGGGTTAACAGACGCGTAAAGGACTCCGTTTCCAAGTCTGTCAATGTTTCTGTGGATTACGGATAGCACTTATTTTATGTGGAACAAGGAAACATTTCAAGATAATTTCCTGTTTTTTAATATTATAATATCGGGAGTATCTCAGATTGGTGCATTTTGTCTGTAGGGGCCTATGCTGTTAAAATTAGAGAATTATGGTGTGTGAATGTTAAAACTGGTACCGTCTCTTGTTAAAACAGAAGAAAGCCATTCCAGCGACGAGGACACAAATCAGGAAAATCGGGATGATAATGTAGTACAGGTAGTGCTCATAATTAGATTCTTGAGGGTGCAAGAAGAGAACATTTGAAAACCCAATAAATCAACAAATTTCTAAATCATCATATTGGAAGTTGAAAGGAATGAAAATGAGGGTGCACTTACGTTCAACCTGATTCACATAGAAAGCTATCGGTTCTGTCCATGAGCCGTTTCCAGCGAGGGACGTAGCCCGCACACGGGCAGAATAGTTCCCAGCTCCCAAGTTGGAGAGTTTCACCCCTTTGTGCTCCCTGTAATGTTGACGGGATACACACTCGTGCTTCTCAGGCTGTAGAAAAAGATTAACAAGAACATACTGGTCAATGTCAAAAAACAAGCCATAAATCATTAGTTGACAAACTAGTTAACAAGTAGTGCAAAAATGCAGTGCTTTGTCAGTGCTGTGATGCTCTTTCTTTAATGCAGGTATATAAATATATCTTAAATGTATTATTTAAAATATATATTGAATTTAACTATATTGTGAAAATATTACATTTATTATAAGCACCAAATATTCTACATTTCAATTAAAGAATAAATATATTTGAACAAATATTAACTGTAAAAACAATATAAAACCATTCTTTCTGGTCCTCGATTCTGATTGGCTGAGAGGTATTTTCACCCATGAAATATTCACCCAGTATCACACACACACACACACACACACACACACACATATATATATATATATATACACAGTGCACCGCATAAATGATTACACCCCTCTCTAAAACTTAACAAATTCAGCAATTACTCTTTACTTAGAAGACATGTTAGGGTTCTTTGGAGATGTAATGTTCCAACAAGCCTGCTTGAGCAATTACCAAAGAAGAATGCCAAAATGATTCAGCAAAATAAGATTTTCTTATCAAAGTGATAAAATTTTGTGTTGCAAAAATGAGTACACCCTCCTGAAAGTTACTAAAAAAAATGTGTATAGGTTTAAGGCTATTTTTGATCAACAGGTAAGTATATTGAACCAAAACCTTTAAAGACAAGTAATTTCCTGACAATTTAAAGTGTTATATAGCCCACTGAATCATACTCAGTTAATGCTGGCAGCAGTGGAACCACTCGGGAGAGAACTGTAAGGAGATTTATTTCTTTGCATAAAAGAGGACAATGGTACAAGAGGAATACCAAATTAT